GTGTGTGTATGTTTGTATATATATATATAAAATTGATAAGATATTGTGACTTAGAATATGGTATATTTTGAAAAATTTCCATAATTTTTTCAAAATTTACTTTCTTCTCAGAAATTGAAGAAATTTCTTCAATTTCTGAGAAGAAAGTAAATTCAGCTGTTTTTGGGTGAAATATTCTGCAGTTATCTGTTAGGTCCATCTGATTTATAGCATTTATTTATGTTGAAAATATCTTTATTGTATTTATGTTTGGATTATCTCTCTATTGGTGAAAGGAGTGTGTTGAAATTACATAGCATTACTGTATTGGGGTCTCTGGGATTTAGTGTCAAGAAGTATTTTATTTATGTAATAATGTGCATTTGAATCAAATATTTACTATTGCTATATCTTTTTGTTGGATTGTTCCCTTACCAATATTTAACAATATTCTTTGTCTCACTTGCTTTAGTTTTGCTTGAAATCTGCTTTGTCAGGTATGAGGGAATATATTTGTGCTTGTTTTTGGACTCTGTTTGCATGGAATTTTCTTTCTTTTCTTTAACTTCCAGCTTGGGGGTGCCTTTGCATTATGAGATGAGTCTCTTGCAAGCAGAATATAGGTGGATCTTGCTTTTAATTTTAAATTCATTCTGTCAATATGTATCTTTTAATTGGGGAATTGAGATCATTTATATTCAGTGTTATAATTGACAGATGTTATGTCATGCAACATTGGTTTGTTTGCTGCATAATTCAGAATTTATTTTCATTTACCTAGTTGTTCTTCTAGTAAACTTCAACTATTTGGGAGCTTTGGGTTTTTTTTTTCTTTTTTTTCTGTGTGTAGTAGATCTTTAAGTATTATTTGTGGTGTCACTTCATGATTATGAATTATTTTATTTATCCTTATCATGGAAAATATTTATTTTTACATAGATTCTGAAAGACAATTGTACTGGATATAGCAACCTTGCCTGACAGTTTTTTTTCTTTTAGAGCTTGGAATGTCTCATTCCAAGCCATATTGTATTTTGGATCCAATTTGAAACATCAGAAGTGAATCTTATTGGTTTGTCTCTAAATACTACTTGACATTTTTCTCTCACAGCTTTTAATATTTTTCCCTTATTTTCTTTCTTTTTTAAGAGAGAGAGAGAGAGAGAGAGAGAGAGAGAGAGAGAGAGAAAGAGAGAGAGAATTTTTTAATATTTATTTTTTTTAAGTTTTCATTGGACACAGAATCTTTATTTTTACTTTTATATGGTGCTGAGGATGGAACCCAGCACCCGGTGCATGCCAGGCAAATGCGCTACTGCTTGAGCCACATCCCCAGCCCCTCCCTTATTTTCTATGTTAGGCATTTTGATTATAATGTTTCTTTGAGAGGTTCATTTTGGATCTGGTATATTTGGTGTTCTGTATGCATTCTGTATATGGATGTCTACATCATTTCTAAGGTTAGGAAATTTTCTGGTATTATTAGAACTGAAGCAGTTCTAATCCATTTAACCTGACTTTCAAGTTTGGTCTCTTGATGTTCTCCCAGAGTTTTTTTTTATATTCTGATGATGATTCTTATTTTTTTCCTACATTGCATATTTAGTATTCTTGCCCACATCCCTTCTGTGGGATGGGCTGGCAGAGAAATAAAAACTAAGAAAAGTAGAATGGAGAAATGACCACAGAACCCATAAAGTAGTTTCAAAGGAGGGGTGGAGGTGGGAAAAGCTGACCAGATGGGTTCAGCTTCTAACAAAGAAAGGTGCCCTGTTTGCTTTACTTATGTTGGAAAACATCAAAGTCTTTCGATAGAAAGTTCTTCACCAAAACAGGATAGAGGCGGGGGCAAGGTAGACTGCTCAGTTCCTAGCAAGTTATGCCCATCTCCTTTCTGGGGACCTTTCTGTCAGAGCTGAGGGGGAGTTCACTTGCATCTGGTGATCTATCCTGGTGGGCCTGCTGTAGGAAGTTCCCAATGCCAGATATTGGCTGCAATGCTGA